AATACTTTATTTATATTTAAAATAAAATATAATTTAAAAATAATAATATTAAATAAATATTTATAAATAAAAAAAAAATAAAAACTAAATGCTATCAAATTTTTGTTTTTTAGTTTTAAACTCTTCTTCGACATCTGATATGTTGTCATCAAACAACTCATTTTCATCAATTAAATTGTCAAAATTATATTTTCTTTTACCATTTATGTTTAACTCTTCATGATTTGCTATAATCATTTCTTGAATTGTATCAATCTCTTCATGAATTTTATTTACTGATTTTTGATTTTTGTTTGCTTTGAATTTTCCTTTTTTTTGTTGACGTGTATAATCAGAATCATCTGAATCAAGTTCAGAAAATTTATCTTCTGAATCACATTCAACTTCAGAATTTTGATCAATGTTTTAATGTTGAGCTGAAGATTCAATTTGTGGATTTGAATTATATTCGATTTCAACTTTTTTAATCAAATCTTGTTTATGTATACAATATTGGGCAAAAATTGTCGAATAACGGTAATTTGGCAAATGGGCGCATGCCGCTTTGCGGCACATGTAGCCAATCATTTATCGAATTACCATATTTGACAATTTGCCCAATATTGGTGTTATCCGGCAATTTATGATCATAATTGGTAGGAAGTCACTCGCTGAGTTTTATTTTTTGAATATTGGAATAACATAATTATATCGTAACACATAAAAAAAATAACAAGAAGAAATTTTTTCATGATCATATGAGTTTGCCGGATAAAGTCAGATAATTCTCTGCATTGTGGATAGTCTTGTAAATAATTTTTTTTGAATAATGGAAAATTACGATGCCAAAATACTTGATCGTTTTTGATTATAACTTGGCCATCTTCATCTTTGTTAAGTTCTTGTACAACTTTTTTAAGTTGTTTAGTTGAATATTCATCTTTTTCATACTTTAAATCCCAGTTCATATTTCAAAAGTCAGATTCAGAACCTTTGTGAAAAATGAGTTGTGTAGTACGTTTTCAATATCATCATTCCATTCGCCTTTAAATTCAATAATGAAATCGAGACGACGATAAAACTGTTTCCAGTCACATTGAGATAGTGTTTCGTTTTCAGTATTTTGTTGACCGAAATTAAATGATTCTTCAGGTGGTTTTCGTGATGTCATAAAAATATATTTGGCTAAAAATGGAACAAATGACTTCCCTTTAATTTCAACATTTTCTGGAGTGTCATTCAAATATTTTACAATGGAATTCCAATCAACACAAGTGTACCATTCATCAAAAAAAACTATTGAATGATCTTGATATTCATCCCACCAACTCAATCTGTTTCTTTGCATTTTACTCTTAGAATATAACTCTGAACCAAATAACTTTTGAACGAGATGTGATTTTCCTGCTCCACCTTTGCCAAAAAAATAGAACGTCACTGGACGCCAAAATCTTTTTACTTGTGTTTTTTTCTTTTCTTTTGCAATCTCAGAAGCAATCAAGTTTGCTTGAAATAAATTATTACTATATGGCACCGTATCTTTATTTTTTTTTAACCACATTTAAGAGTGTTGCGCCATTTAAAAGCATGTTATTACCTTCAATTCCCGCATCATGAATTTGAAGTTGTTTTTCTTGATATTCCTCATACAAATCAGTTTGATTTCATGATGGTGCTAGATATCGATATTTTCCAAATTCCCATGGCCCAACTAAATCTTGTGACATTATATTTCCATCTAAATTAGTCCATCAAGCCAAAGTTCTCTTCATAATACAGCTTTTATCACATATATCACAAATATTTCACGCACCATAAAATCGCATCTACATTTTTTTTTGTGTTTTTTCTCTTTACATCTGTTCCAAGATTTGCCCGAATATGCTTGATTTTGATCAGAATCACCATTTAGATACTTAGGAAAATTCATTGTGCGATGTTTAAAAATACAATTTTTAATTGATGAAAATGTTTGTCTTTCTGCCTCTTTAAATTGAAAATATAATTGTTCATGAAATTGATGTTGTTCAGTCGATTCA